TATTTCTTTAATTTTAGAATATTCTCGCCAAACAAACGATTTATTTGAACATGCTTAATACTTTGGAAAAATTGATAAATTTCGTTTCCGAGATTCATCAACATAGATTTTTATATTTCCCCAAACAGTTTACTGTTGGGGATCTATCTTAGAAAAAAGAGTTGGCCACACTCACTGGCCGCGCCCCTGAACTCTGTGGCTGGGCTCTGTGTCCAGGCCTTGTCCTCCTCTTGTCCTCTGTGGCTGGGCTCTGTTCTGTGTCCAGGCCTTGTCCTCCTCTTGTCCTCTGTGGCTGGGCCTTGTCCTCTTCTTGTCCTCCTCTTGTCCTTGTCTTGGCCGCGCCCCTGAATTCTGTGGCTGGTCTCTGTGGCCCGGCTTACTGGAGAGGAATGTGGCCGAACAAATAGCGATGTCAATGCCGACAAAAATTCATTGATGAAGCAGTTTGCTCTTGGGGTGAAGGTAGGGCGTACCAAGAAATTGATCTTTGACTATTATTGGTCTAAACGAATCGTTTTGAAGCTGTTTGGGGTCTATGCTTGTATAATTATTCTATTTATAGATGTCTCAAAATACGAAGAATAAAGATCCTTAATGGAAAATGAGAATGATTTTAAAAAAACACAATTTTTTAATATTTTTTGAAATGTAGAAAATCGAATTTCTATTTCGTTCCAAAAATCGGAGACAATCCTTCAACCCAGAAATGATGGCCTCCAAACTAATGGCGATAGCTTCCAACTTATTAACGATGACCGACAATTTAATAACGATGGCTTCCAACCTACCAACGATAACCTCCAACCTACTAGCGATCACCTCCAATATGGAACCCAGATTTTGCAGCAATTTGTGGGACCATATCGTTTTAGCAATTTGATCTTATTAATTTCACCTAGTCCCTTTCTAACCTTAAGAGTAAAAATCCATCTAGAAAGAGATCCGGGCTTTCTTTTTCAACCTATAGATATGCCATTATTTGGTTGTGGCTTCTAAGCTGTTCCCTCCCGGATGCTTGCAACTACCGAAATCAAAGTGCTTGCGGAGAATTGACGGAACAGATACTTATACATCTAGCGTTGTGTATGGGGACATTTTAAATGCCTGACGTGTGCGTGGTAGAAAAATTGCGGCGGTTTTATACCTTGGTGCTTTGCCTTTCCAATTCTTAAAATCATTTCCATATAAATAATACAATTCATCATATATAAAATTCATAATATATCCAATTCCCCGAAGGCCTAGTCAATTTTTTGCTTACGATAGCATGCGTGCACTATTTTAACTTAAGGTGTTCGCGCGAACAACTTGCTCCCATTATTATTTATAGGCAGGACCTCTAGTCCATAGCTGCAAAGAGCTTTCATCCCTTTCTTTGCATTGTTCTATTGGCGAATAAACCACATTCTTTTACAGATTAAATTTGTAGATATTAAATTTTCAATCTTTATCTTTTTCTTCTTTCTTTAAATCAAAATTGTTTTCTAATTCTTAAATTATCATATGTCCTCAATGCCATCGAAGAAGCGGCTTCAATTCTTTTTAATTTACCCTCCATTTATGCATCAGATTTCCCACCTCTAGCAGATATCGCAAAAATTCGCAGTATTTAGTCCCAAAAAGAAGCCGAAGCCAAGTGCTTCTTCCAGCATAGTGCCTCGCGTCGATATGCACCTCCGGTCTGAAGCCTGCCTCCTGCAAAGGATCCACGTGCATTACCAAGATTCTGCAATCCCTGCCTGAAGAGCCTTTTTATTAAATACAGGCCCGCCCTGAAATGAGACCTTGCATCACTCATAAAAGAATCGACTATTTCAATGCCTTTGTGAATAATTTGAATAGCAAAGGCAAAATCATGCCGGCCGTTGCGAATTGACGCCGGCTTAATCATCGTCTTGCAAATCGCAAGCCATAAAGATCCTATAGACGCGCATTTCGTCAAATTTCGAACTTCTAATAAATTAGATGATAAAGATATATTCTCTTGTGGAGCTGCAAATTTTTGCATATTCTGCCATTGTCGAAAAAGTTTAGTTTTATGCATTTCAATATAAGCAAACCCTTATATACCCCATTTTATTTGATCCATTTGAGGCTGCTCCTCCTGCTGACCTTACGGACCTCATCTTCTGAGCCAAATTTGACCTTAATGGTTGGCATTTGATTGGGATATTCATGGGTCAGATTTAACGATTTCGCGAAAAATTCGAAACTGCTAACATCCTGGGGGGTCATATGGAAGAAACGGATGAATGAGTTCGACCGCTGCCCAGGACCAATGCCGGTCAAGAACCTGAATTGGATTGATTTTTGAATCAGGCACCCGCAAACTTTTGGATGCATTGGTCATGCAGATTCGCATTGCCGCGGCTCCCCCTGAAAATTCGTTGTCAAAAGAATTCCTTTATCTGCTAGACCAATCAAAGATCAACATGAAAATTATATAAAAAATTTCTTGACAATCAATTTAATAGATATATATATATATGCAACAACTATTAAAATCAAGAATTATATATGTTGGTTATTTAATCTAGCAATTTATCGATCGTGGAATCCGCCGATGCTCTTTGGCATTGCCATCTCCATGGCATCAACCTTCGTTATCCTAACCCGTGGACCAGCCGTGGCACAATGGATTGCCGAGCCTCTTCGGGCCTTTTAATCTATTTATCAACATTTATCGTTTAAACTATCCCTCCAGAAGCGTGTTTTCTAGTAACCAATTTCACCTTATTAATATTTTTTTCTTATTATTAATATATTTACGAGATATTAAATCTCCCAATACTTCCAATTTGGCTTTCGACCTAATTGAAACCAAAGGATGCTCCAATAATACGGATCTATTCCACTGGATATCCGCATATGTAAAATTGCTCACGACCTTATTAAAGATCAGATAAATTTATTTCCTCATATTGAATTATATGAAGATTTTGGATGTTCCTATATCCTCCTTTTCGGAATATTATATTAACCTCCGAAAAGGGCAAAAGAAATACGACTCATTTATAAAATAAATATATCCCCATCAATATTTCAAAATTTATATTATATATAAACATATTATAAAAATATATTTCCAAATTCATAAAAATTAATAATAATCAAATATATTTTCTTAATATATCATATCTTCCCAATCAAAACCAATTTCCTTAATTATTTTTTTTATAATATTAATATAGCTATTTATAATATAAAAACACAAATTACGATCATATATTCTTCGAATAAATAAAATTAAAACATTAATTACAAAACAAATATAGAAATACAAATATATCATTCTACAACGACATCAATATTCAAATTTCAACAATTTCATATCTAAAAATATCATTTATTTTAGACATATAATATATTATCTTCTGCTATATTACATTGTACTATATATGTATATCTTTCAACTAAAACAATCATAATTATACATTAACAATACTATTATTCCATATTTTAAACATATGATTTATTGCAATATTCCTTTTCTATTTTTCAATATTGTTTATATATATATATAAATATACATACATCAATCATATATTAACATTAGATTCTTGTTCAATATAGAGTACTATTTTATTTAAACATATAATAGATTTAAAAAATACATAATATTCATCAATAGTATCAATACAGAAAAATTACTGATGGACATTAATGTTTACCCTAATTGTCATTATTAGTGCTTGAAGGGTATGTCGGCCCACTATGCCAGCGGAAATGCTCTCGATCCAGAGACGTCGCAGAGAGGAGTTCAACCCGTGGGGTGGGGGAGGCCCCGTACATATAAAGTTTTCACGCGATGCGGAGCTTTTGAGGATTTCAGCCCCTCACTTGCTAAAGCGAGAGCAACTCCAGCTGGCTGGTAGCTTTTGTGATACAGTGCAACAATATAGATTTTTAATTACATTGAAAAGTATATATATATATATTCCTTTTTCGCCAATCAGTTTACTGTTGGGATTCTATCTAAGATACTTAGAAAAATAGAGCTGGCCACACTGACTGGCCGCGCCCCTGAACTCTCTGGCCGGGCTCTGTGGCCCGATGCTCCTTTTGTCTTCTCTTGTTTTGGTGTTGGCCTCCGGCTTCGCCGACCAGCCCTGGCCACACTGACTGCCCGCACCCCTGAACTCTGTGGCTGAGTGTTTAGAATGTTGAGTGACGTCCAACCGGACGCCCGCGAAAGACGCGGGTTCGCGTAGGGGCCCTTCTCATACTGTTGATAGATGGGGCGTCCGATAATGTGCCAGTGAGACGCATTGGACACTGTCAATTTTTCATGAAAATGGTCAACAGCTGGAGAGGAGTGTGGCCACACAAACAGCGATGTCGATTCCGACAACAATCATTGATGAAGCACTTCGCTCTTGGGGCGGAAGGCAGGGCGTGCCAAGAAATCGTTTTTGACCAACATGTGGTCAAAACGAATCGTTTTGAAACTGTTTGGGGTCTATGCTAGTATAGTTAATGATAAGATTTCATAATTAGAAACTAGAAATAACAAAAGCAAAGCACCTGTGAACAACTTTAAGCAACTGAGAGTTCTTTGGGGGGGCGGACGGGCCATTCAAAGTGTAAGGGGTCCTCAACCAAGAAACCAACCACAGGATTCTCCACTTGTTTCCAGCCGTCGCGGACGTGGGCTTACAGGGATTTCCTCAACAGGATTTGATACTTCGCGAAGGCTTAGAACAAAAGGAACGCGTGCACATTGTACACATCGAAAAACACACCCTTGAATGAACTTTGCCTTCTTGCAGGCGCGCAATGGTCTTACAGTGAAAACGTGCAGTCGCCTCAATTTTGACTACATTATTTTGTCCACAGCTTTTTTTGCTCTCCCTCACCTGGTTCTGGTTCACCCTACCTCACCCAAAACTCACTTCGATCGCCCATCAAGCACTCCAGCCTAGCCTATCGGCTGGCTTTCGTAGTGTTATGTTATGTAGCTGAAATATATCTAACATTATCTAACATTCATGTATTTCAATCTGTTATTACCGTCGGGTCCTATATTGGTCAGTTGGTTCGTCGCCAGTGGCCAAATCAAGCTCGTCACCAATGCCGTTGTTGAACATAACGACGTGCAAACCTTTTCTTTCGGCTTCAGGCACTGACTGCCAGGGGCACGGGCAAGGCGCAAACGTGTGTGTGTGTGTGTGGTGGTTCTCTTGTCTACATAGTTTGAATGAGCGCATCCATGGAAACTGTCCTTAAAACAATATCGGAGCCTTCTCCAACGTTCCGCCCCAAAATAACCCAAGCAGTCTTGAAACCACCTTCATGCGACCCAACATGTCATGAGGGGTCTTTCTAGTTTCGAAGTGTTAGTTCGGTTTCTGTCAGGACAAGGCCTGGAAGCACTTGACCATCCAAAGCCAAGTGTCTCTGGGAGGTTCAGGACACAACATTTTGTTCACCTCCGACTCTTCATCCATGCCATCGAAGTCATACTGTCTATAATCCACTTTTGCAACTTCCCTGACCCATTCCTGCTGACAAAGCAAGGCCCAAAAAGCGAATGCATGTGTTAGTGGGCATCGTGCACTTGAAGCTTAAACCTGCATCTGGTCAGTCCTCGAAATCTGCATTGACCATGCTCACAGCCCCGTCACCACTTAGGGACTTGAAAAGATCCTTCTCAACCCTTGTCTTTCCAAGCGCATCAATGACAGCTGACAGCCCATGCTTAAATCCATAGCTGGGGTGATCTGTCAATGTTACGCAGCTCACAGCATGCTTTCGCATCCTGCGACAAAGATCCGTCAAAGCATTGATGCAAGGCCCTGTCTGCTGCTCCAAGAAATCCTGGCAAAACAAGGCCATTTAACTTCTCTGATTTGCATACGGGCTACCTCTTCAGCCCTAGGATGGCCTAGCACCCTTTTCCTAATTGTTAGATTGGTACTTGCTACTGTCGCAATGCCTAAATGTAACCACAACATTGTAAATCTATATTATGTAAATATATATATATAACTATATAAATGCAATCTGCTGCCTACAGCTTGCAACCATCTGCAACAATAGGATGTGCAAAAGCAGATCGAGCTCACAGTCGTGCTGCGCTAGTAGAAGAACATGCACATCATTTGGTTCGGGCGGCCCCCAGGCCCACTTTGTGCCTTTAATAAACTCTTATGCGGAAAGCCACATTTTACGAAGTTAACCCATGCTGACACAGCTGCTTCCGCTTATATAAAACCTCCTGTCTCTTGCAAGCTTGGGGAATGACAGCTGCAGCGTGCTTGGCAAAAAACACCAAAACACAAAAAGCTTGATCTGTGGGGACCAGCTCTGAGTGTCCTCCAGGGTTGCTGCGGGCTTCCAACCCAAAGGCGGTGGTGGAGGCCCAGGCTCAATCGGCACTTTTTCAGCCTGCACTTTGAAGATTTGTAACCATCCATTGTCAGTGATTCATGTTGATAGCAAGCACGCACACTAACTTTGCAGCCGGGTCCATGTCTATGTGATGGGCCGTCCTTCTGCCTGCTTGGTTTCTTCAAAGGCTTGGCTTTTGCCTGCAAGCTCTGCTTCAAAGAAAAACTATTTGTTTCTTTGGATTCCCTCCAATCTGCCATTGCTTCCCCGATGCCTGCACACAAAGTGGGAGCTCGCAATGCTTAAAGGGCAATCGAGGCCTTCATGGTATCAAAGTATACTTTGGCCGCTCAGCATCAACACACTTTTGTACACCATTGTGCATCTATCTTCTTGCACTGGTTTTGCACGGTTTCTGAATTTGTATGTGCAGCTTCCCTTGACAAATTAGATGCTCACGATGCTGAACAGGCAATCCGTCCACGTCAGAAGCAGCAACCTTCACAACCAACGCTGCTTGCAGAAAATAATGTTCATCGCTATAGGGTCTTACTTACATTCACATCACGCTACAGTAAATCATCCGCAAACCCTCCGTTGGTGAGTGGCAGCGTTGGCTTTAGGAGTCAAATTGACGTGCCCATCTTTGAGGCCTTGGTGCTGCTTGGCTTCTTTGCAGGCTTGGCTTTGACCTGCCAACTCTTCTTCAAGAAAGGTGGAGCGAATTCTTCAAACAACGCAGTAGTTACTAGTTGGATAGCTTAGGCTTAGACACTTTCACACATGTTACTATTCAGCGATCGAATGGCAGGGACGCCTTAGCAGCTGCTTTGACCATGCCAATTTCGCACAAATATCTATCCAGTGCGCTACTCGCTAGGAACTAGCACAGGCATCATGTCAGCTTTGCTTCCAAAGGGCTTGAGCTGCATGATGTTTATTGTGTTGCATGAAACGTGTGACGTCTTCCACTGACCAAGAGCTGAAACAAAGCGGTCGAGAGATGCACTTTCAAAGAGTCTCAATCAACGAGTTATAAGAAATGACACCTCAGGCGGCACTGGTTTAGTCTGATTCGGTAACCAAACGGTATGATTTGGTAACTAAGATTCGGTAACCACAAGCGCTGATTCAGCAACCAAAAGCTTTGATTCGGTATATAACCTGATTCGGTAATCAAAGCCGGCGATTGGGTGAAGACCCACACCAAAGGCACAAACGGGAACCAACACCGCGGGTAAGGCTAAGGAGCAAAATCTTTCGGTCACTAGGTAGCCCTCCGCCCCATTCCAGCCATATGCTGCAAATATAAAAATATTCTTAGTTGAATGAATTTCCAAACCCTTTGCAACCACATGGAACGTTATTTTCTTGGCTTTCTGAATTGGCTGTTTTGGTTTCTGAACCGTCTGGAGTAGAGATACAAAAACATGAGTATATATATATATATATATGGAAAACATGGAGCATCGCCAGCGTCGCATCCGTTTTCCATGGAGCTTCTGCTCGATGACTGCAAGTGCACCTTCTCAGAGATTCGGCTGTAAAGGCTTCACCTGCCGATGGAGTGGAGATGGGCTGGGGCTGAGATAGGACATCAACTCAGATGCAAAACCATGATACCAGTACCATAGTGATCACATCACAAATAACATGTGATAACTCTCCGAGTGGGATGGAGTGACTCAGTGCGATGGTAAGTGGGACTCCGTGTCCTTTCTGCGGCCCCTGTTTCACCGCGCGCTGTTTCCGGTACCTACTAGGTCTGGCTGTTCGACCAAGACTATAAACTGGTTGGAGCAGGACATGGGTTCTCCAAACGCGACACAGTAGATTGTCTCTACTGTGAGGGTTACAGACAACGCGTAGCATCCTGTCAGCCCAATGCTGTCTATACAGGTTGAAATGTGCTCACTTGAGGCCCTTCTTTGCAAAAACTCCACCAATTCGGGTCTCATGAGTCAGTCCTTCTTCCTACCTATTTCAATTGATTTCCTCAACATAGAGGGCGCAAGCATCAGCACATGGACATATTCACAGGTGTGGGCCGTATGGAACTCTCCAAGGCACTAATTAAGTAGGAGCCCCCACTCAGCTGCTTGCAAGTGGGTGACCCGAAGACATACATTCATTCTCTGTCGAGCATGTTGCGGGACACTTGCTTAGTGTGTCCTCAGAGTAGTTCATTACAGGATATCCTCAGCTCAAGAAGCGTTCTAGCACTTTGGATCGTTCTGGCACTGAGCTCCCAAGGATTCACTCAAACCAAATTCAGCTCTGTCGCTCTCCACGACACGCTGCCGCATCTCTTTATTTCGGAACCGGAGGTTTGCAGATGCGACCTGGAAGCTGGCTGCTATCTTGGCCTTGGCCTAAACACGTGTGTGTGTGTGTGTCACACCCTGGTTCTAAGGGTTTCCACCTTTTCACCTTTCCACTACCACCGAGATCGTTCTAAATACTTTTTTTCCACTGATGTCATTTCATCAAAGGCAGGGGGGCAGAGAGGACTTGCAAGGCTCTGCCCAACGAAGCTCTTTGCAAGATCCTAGGAAGCGGAAGCTGATCACTTCCGTGTACCTGCTCGTTTTCTCGCAAGCTGTTACCCTACTCTTCCACGGTTTGATTCATGGTGGTTTTGCATGACATTTTTCAGCAACTTGTGCACTGCATTTCAGGCGCGTGAAAGAAACACGTGTTAAACAATACAAGTCACCGGACCCTTTCGCCTTGCCGTTCCCTCACCTTCCTTCCCATCGTGACAACTGAGTATAACTGAAAACCCAAGTTCGAAGTGTGACCCGCTCAGTCTTCCCACTCGGGTACTGGGTGTGATCCCCTTCAGTGGGGCGCCGACGCCATGCCGGAATTCATTGTTTCTCCACGTTTAAAACTGACTCCGCGGTTTCCATTTTATCCCTGAATTCCCTGATTTTCGAGCCGCCGGGCTATAAGCGACGGAATATCTACCCAAAGCTCAGACATTCATTCGTGTTGTGCATTGCTACGTTCCTCAACTTTAATTTTCCAACCGCAGCCGTTTGACCGACGATCAACGTACGCATGCTCACATCCCAGAGATTACACTGCATGCCGAACTTTCAACTTATTAATTTTTTTCACGGCACACGTACTCAGGTTCCAGAATTCACTGCCATCTTCAAATCTCTCACTTCCGCTGCTGTGCCGCGCCGGCGCCATTTCCCGCAGCTTCTTGGACTGGCTTCTCCACATGCAGTACCCCTGGCCGTATCCACACTGGCCACCACCGTGCACCGCACCCTCAATACCCACAGTCACCGCTCAGCCACCGCCATGGCATCACTCTCCACCAACGGCGCCTGTCCCTACCGTTTTGTCCCATCCACCACAGCAGACCTTTTTGCCCCACTTTCCGACCACTTCACCGCAACCGCCACCTCATGCGTGGCCACATCCCATGCCAACACATTCTCCACCAGTACCAACCTTTGTGACTCCCACACACGCATACCCCACACCACCTCAGATGCAGGCATTTGAGACCCTGCCAACACAGCCTCATCCGCCCTCTTTACCCCACGCACCACCAGCGCCATCAACTCCACCAGCTATCCAGGCACCATCGCCGCAACCACCGATCCAACATGTCCCCGTTCACTGGGACCAAACTCAAGGCGTCTGGCAGCCTTTCTCCCTCTTTCCCCCTGTGGCTCATCCTTCGCCGCATCCAACATCAGCCCCAACCACCACTGCTTCGGATGATCCAACACATACGCCACCCACACCTGGCGCTCACCACGTCCCCGCACCAGTCGATCCCACTCAGGGGACCTCCTCACCGGCCATCACTACTGCAACCACCGCACCAGTCACCCATACTACTCCGCCACCAGCCACCGCTCCACCATTGCCGCCACCGCCACCACTCCCCACGGAAGCATCTTCAGCACCCACCCCGGGGCCTCACAAGCAGTCCCCTGCGCAACCTCTCACAGCAACACCACCCCCTCCTGCAAGAACTGGCCGCACCCATCATGGCAGAAGCCGCAGCAAACGGCGTCGCCGCCACCGCAGCCGCCGCGCACGTGACAAACACCACCGCTCTCCTGCAGCCTCCACTGCCAAAGCGTCGTCGGCACGCCGTCGGCGTCGCCGTTCCCCATCAACCTCATATACCACATCTTCGGATAGCCGTTCCCGCAGCCGCTCCCATGCACCCATCACTCTCCGACCCAATCAACAGTCTACACCTCACAGCCAGCTCACGAACATGTCCCAAGCGGACTTTCCCAACATTCCAGCACTACGACGACCCCACCCACCTTGGAAACCACCTCCACCACATTTCAAGCAGCTTTCCCACAAAGAACAGATAGCATGGTGGCTTGATTTCCATGCTGCACAGTTGGCTGCAGAAAACAAACCACAACATCTATACATAGCACAACTTCTTGCTGACATCGGCTTCACCCTCGACGACTTGGCAGACTTCCGCCAACTCACCCATGTGAATGATGCCACCAATACCTATGACACCTTTTCCTACCACTGCGTCAACATTCCCAGTCTGGTCGACAAGGCCACCCGCCCAATACCACCGCCTGCCACTCGTGCCACTTCCACTACCCCGGAAACAGTTCACATCAATGCCTGTCACACAGGCCCCCACGGCAACATCACTGCCATTCTGCAACAGGGCCGTCTCCTGCCCAGCACTCTCCACTTTGACGCCAACCCGGGCTTTTTCGCCCAAGCCACACGCATTGCTCACCAACAAATCCACGACAATTACGAACAAGCCCGCGTCCTACACAACACATGGAAGATGGCAAAAAACGTCCATTCTATCATGGTCCATCTCCTCGCCTGGGGCCGTGGGACAAAATTCACCAGCGGCGGCGAAGCCCAAGCCATGCATCTTTTGCAACAAGACCATGGCGCTGTTTGCCACTCCAAAGCCCGCTGCTGGGTGATTCACCCCATAACGCCATAGTCAAAGGACTGGCGTGGTCTATCAATGCAACACCTCCAGACCTTTGATGTTCCACCACATACCACCGGCTCACCTTTTTCAACCTCAATGCCACCTCCCAACACTTGAGAGAAGCCTATCCCTACGTTTCACACCAGCCACCCATTCCGGCTTGCAAAACAGCCGCGCTCCGGTTTTCGTGCCAGTGTGATACGATCCACCGTTTTACATCGTCGTGCAATAGTTTCACCTTTTCAACTGAACGCCAGTTTTTGCCGCTCCATTTTCCCTTCTGATCGAATTCTCATGCATGATCACTTGGATTAGTTCCTAGGTATTTCAGGCTAGAGGACCAGTGCCACTGAACTTGACGAACTGTTTTTGTAGACCTTTGATTCCTTTTCGCATCAGGACCAGCTGTAGTCTTTTTTCAGGCTCTATTGATGTCTCTGTATACCCTGCAAAATTCGTGCTCAATAATTCATTTTCGTAATTCAATTGCATGCTCCGCTCGTATGCCCCTGCCGCTCATGCAGTTCCGATACTTGTGCTGCGCTATTCAATGCTCCAGCCGCCGCTTCGACGGCCGACCCCGACGCGGCTCTTCACGATGCAGCCTCATGCTGACCAAGTTCGCCTCATTCATCGAACTACTATTGCCCTCAGTCAGCTTCATCGCATACTCCAGCAAGCGACAGACATCCTGGCCAACCTGCACAGCCTCTACCTTGTTCACACACAGCAGGTCGACCCTCATTTTCATCGACCGTTTCCACATCTTCCTCCAGCTCCCCTCACAGCAGTTCCCATCCTTTCCCCCACTTCTTCTTGCGACTCGGCTCCTGCTGCCCCCATCAAACATGCACCACCGCAACCTCCTCCCTCACAAGCATCCTCGACCTGTTCCTCTTCGCCGCCACTACCACAACCCAAGCG